CCCCCCCCCCCCCCCCCCCCCCCCCCCAGGACCTGCATGTAGGCGAGTCTTCAGACCTGATTCAGACCTGATACAGACGGCGGGTTAAGGACACGCCGTGATAAGACACTGTGCCACACGGCTGACAGCTTTCAGAACATGCAGAACGAATCATGAAGTTTTCAATGTGAGATAAGGTGAGAGAGAGTGTGTGTGTGTGTGTGTGTGTGTGTGTGTGTGTGTGTGTGTGTGTGTGTGTGTGCGCGTCAGGCTCAGGCACTGGACAGCATTGTAGATGTGAAGATCTGCTGCAGTATTTGGGGGATCTGCTTAGTGTCCATGGCAACGAAGGATCTCCCGGCTGGAAGGGTCTTTTGGAGTCTGAAACAAAGACAGAAAAAAGCAGTTTGGGGTCAAACAGAGAGACAGAACATTAGCAACAGAATCGTTTCCTAAAATGAAAAGACAGACGAGCACTTGTTTACTGTGTGAACTGGTACAAGACGTTTCACTGACGGAGGACAGTGTGTGAAACACAGAGCTGTGGTTGACATGGAGGAGCTCAGGAACAAGACAAAGACATCTCCACTGTGTTCAGCTCTCGCTTTCCTCTGTCAGTCACTGGTGTGTCCTTTAAAGCTCCATATTTTACACTCTTTTATTTGAAGAGTTGATCTATAAGAAGAAATATTTTTGGTTTTAAAGCTCCATCCAGTGTAAAGGTCTCTGTCTGTGTGTAGTTTGATCAGGCTCAGAGCCTCCTCTCTTCTGATTGGCTCACCGACCTGTTGTTACTAGAGCTGCAGAGAGAAGCCTGAGAGAGGAGATGTAAAACTACACTGAGATGGTTTTTATATCTTCTGATGGATCAACACTTCAAATAAAACACAGAAGAAGAAACATGGAGACACATACATACACATGGACAGGGACCTTTACACTGGAGGAGCTTTAACTCAGCTCCCAAAGTGTCCTAACATCAAACTGCTTCCATGACGTGAATATATTATTCTAATTCCTCTTTCTCCACATTCAGACTTGAACCTTCTGGTCATTCAGAGTTAATTTCTACCTGAACTCCACCTCTGGAGTTAAAGAGTAATTCCTTTCAGCTCCTTTCATGGGTCACGGGTCTCTTTCTCTGCGCTCGCTCTCTCAGCTTGTCTGCAGTTCCTTCTCTTCACAGAGTCATGAACTGGGAGTAAAACGGCTCATTGTCATTCTGCAGGTCTTTAATCTTACGGCTGCATTCTGACCACGACGCCGCGGCTCTTGAAAGGCTCATGCGAGGCCGGTGAGCCTCGGCTCAGAGGATGTAAAGTGCAGCGAGCCTGGAGCTACAGTAGAGAGGCAATAAGAGGAAGGAGAGGATTTCACTCCTCTTTTGTGCGTGCTGCAGAGCTCAGGAGTTAATCTGGGATGTGACAATAAAGGTCAGCAGGACCAGCGGCAGGCGGGGACACGAGTAGGTCTCAGCCAGAATAAATTGGACGCTCATTGTTCTGCTTAACTTTGAAGTCTAGTTCTTCTTTATTGGTTTGGGAAGTTCGGCTCTTTGCACAGAGTTTTCTACTTCTTTTTTCTCTTCCCTTCATCCTCATCCTTCTTTGGCTCTTTGCTTTTCATATTTCCTCCACTGCAGCCTGTACTTAAAGAGACAGCCCCCCTCCCAACTCCACCTCCTCACCTGTCGGCCTGATCTCCCAGGGATCCGATGAAGATGGCGAAGGCGTTGACCTGCGGGTCAGAGGTCAGGACGTGGGCGAAGCGCTCGGGCCGGATGCCGTAGCGCTCCAGGTTGGCGTCGCTCAGCACCACCACAAAGTGCTCGTCGGCCTCTTCTCGTGCCAGCTCCTTGATGCTGGCGTCCGTGCCCTCCAGGGTGAAGTCGCCGCTCATGCAGAACTGAGCGTGGGCGTGCATGGTCTGCAGGGCGAGGGAGGGAAAGAGGAGGAGGCGGTGAAGGAGACATGGGAAGTGGGAAACAGGCTTTATATTGTTGGATTGTTTGGTTATGAGTTTTATTGTGGAGAATTATCTGTTATGTCACCACAAAGTAAAATACAAAGATGAAGACAAGAGACGGAGACAAACAACTTCATTAAAACTAAAGTACGATAAAACAAAAGGAGAGACAGAAAACTGGACTGAGCGTCCTGACTGTCTCTGGCAGGAAGGTGGAACAGGTTCAGTCCGTTCGCTGATTTAACGTGTCGCGATGTCCGACTCACCACGGACAGGAAAATAAAAACCAAAGACATATCGTCTCTTTCATTCCATACGTTCTTCTTTTCTTCCTCGTAAAACCACATTACCCAGAATGCAACTCGACCTCATGTGAAACCTCTGGCATTATATGTGAAGCTCATTCGAAACATGAAAGTTAGATCTCAATCTGACTTTTCACTTCACACGTGACAGTTTCTTTTTCACATGTAAATCACATATAAAGATAAAAACATGTTTTTTTAACTTCGCGAGTCATTATCATTTTCCTTTTCACATGTAAAGTTAAAAACATCTTTTGCACGTGTAAATTTGAATTAATGTGGAAAATGGAGGTTCACATGTGAAATCATAACGTCACATGTGAACTGAGTGATGCTGAATTTTGCTCTATTTGATTACAGGGAGTGTTTACCTTGAGGACTTTGAGTCTCTGCTTGTTGTTCTTGGGGACTTTGTCGGCTCTGACCAGCTCGATGTCGTAGCCGTCGCCTGAGTGGCCGACGATGTCGTACTGCAGAGGAGATCAAATGTAAAAAGGTAAAATGAACCACGTGTGGAAACACTGACAATGTTTTAACGGTTACACAACTCAGACTTCTGTGTAACGCTCTTTGTGTCACGGTCACTCAGCACCGTGACACCGTGAGCGAAGTGTAAAGACGCAGAAACGTCAGGTCGTAGCGTCACATCCATCACAGCTGGCTTACATAAGGCCGGGTCAGCCTGGCTCCACGCAGCTATTCCAGGCCCAGGTGTTACGTATACGGTCTATTTGTGACGAGGCTGCGACTGTGGCGGGCTGAGGTATGTGACTGTGCGTCTCTCCGTCCATGTCGCTGTCGCTGGGTGTAAAACATGTGTCTTGTTGTTCTGTCCATTTTTAGGTTTTTATACAGAATCTCTAAATTTAATTCACATAAATAAATAAAGATCATTAAAATTAGTCAAATTAAAGATCAAAGGCTTTTGATTCACAACACTGACGTGTCATTTTACCGCTCTTTTTCTGGCTCGTTAATGTGGCTCTGAACAGGACATGAAGCTATAACTGCATCACGCCATCTCTGTTTACCACCGTCAATACACACACACACACACACACACACACACACATATATCATGTAAGACTGCAGGTAACAGGTGTGTGTGTCATACGTGTTATCAGATGCACTTTTATGTAAGTGGGTTGTTACGCAAAGAAAGTCTTTACACTGACATGTGATGAGGAACACTGGAGTGTGTGTGTGTGTGTGTGTGTGTGTGTGACACTGATATGTGATCAGTATTAGGTTGGCTTGAGTGTCACTTAGGGGCCAAGAAGTCTGTCTCCCTTCAACTTTTTTGTCAAACAGACAGCTGGAGGACCCGGGCATGAAAATTCAAATCATCTGCCAAATTAACACGACGACCTCGATGAGTTTTCATCTGTGCGACCAGCAGAGCGACAGAGGACGAGGATTAGTGAAGTTTATTGATCCAGATAAAGTCTCATCCTGCCGAGTCGTGTGAGATGAATCTCAGATAACACAGACAGGCTCGGTCGGTTACTGTGATTTATTTCCAGCTGCTGAGACGCCGTGCTGTCGTATGAAACATGATTATGAACGAACAGACGAGTTGTAATAACGAAGAGGTTAAAGTCCAGATTACGTGACATACATTCAAGATTATGGAGCTGGGTTGAGGTTGTGCAGTAAAAATTCTTCAGCAACAAGCAGAGGTGCAGCTTGTGAACAGGCAACTGCTGGGGGCCCCAGGCTGTTGGGGGGGCCCCCGGAGGCTGACGTACTTTACTAAGTTCTTTTAACATGAACATTTAGAGTTAAAAATTAAGTTTAGATTTCCCCCCGTTTTTCGTAGGTGTCAGTTTATTCATTACATAATGTTGATGAAGGCTGATCGGAGTGGCCCCAACAGACTCGAGAATCGCCCCTGGCAACATGTTGTTTGGTCTCACCTTGAACTTGTGCTCGTAGCTCTCCAGAGCCTCCATGACCATGCACACCGCCTCCATGGAGCGCTCCAGCCTGCCGTCCACGCCGTTGAAGCGGTACATGCTGCCCGACACGTCGGCCAGAACGCGTAGACGCTTGGGCTTCTGCTGAGGACTGCCCAGCTGTAAACACACAGGGTGACATTCACACAAAACACAGGGTTTCAGTCAGAATCTGCAGCGACTAATGATTCAACTAAAGGCCCTGTAAACGAGATTTTACACAATGACACAGCAGCAAACAACTATTTTCTTTGTAAAGATACAGTGGAATAACGACGTCCTGCTGGTGGTCAGAACATCCATGAAGATTTTTAAGTTTTTACCTGCTCCATCAGTGTCATTCGTGCAGCTGGCCCCAGTGGATCAGTCTAAGGCTGAATTTCTTTCCCAGTCTGACCATGGAGCTGATACTGGTCTGGTTTACTGAGAGGAGAACCCTACGAGCTGCTGAAAGCTCCAGCTGGACTCAGAACTGGTTTTTCTTCTCCTCCATGTGTCAGTAACTCGATGGTTCATAAAGTTACATATCTGTTTTCATTAGTGACGGCTACAGTAGACATGCTAACATTAGCTAACCTGCTTTTACCCTATTTTTAATTTATTCGGCAAACATTGCTATCGCTAGCTGGCTAACTGCTACCTTGCTGTGGAGCATATTACGGCAATGCTTACGTGGGCTAATGATTGTGGCTAGTTGTTTGTTGTTGGCTCTCGTGTTCACAGAGTAACTTTATTCAGTTGAGCTTCTTGTTGTTTGTTTAGCTTTGTAAAACTTAACTGACTGAGAACGTGGAGGGAGGCGACGTGTGGTCGCCAAAGCGCTGCTCCAGTGCAACATCTAGCGGCCCTGATGGTCGTTTACAGAACCTTTAAAGAACAGACCTCCCCTGGAGAGTGTTTTGTTGAATCTGGTGTAGCTCACTTAGAATAACAGTCAAAACAAGGGCAGGATTTCAAAACTGGGTGCAATTATTTCAGCACAGACCTTCAGGCCAGACCAGAAATATGCAACAGTAGGAGCTAACGAACGCAGAAAAACATAGTATGCATATTATGGTTAGTGTGTGTTTGTATGATTAGTGTGGGAACTATCACATAGCTCTGTGTGTGTGTGTGTGTGTGTGTGTGTGTGTGTGTGTGTGTGTGGGCTTACTCAAGCATATATGACAGCGGGAGAAAGGGCTAGAATGAGTGTGTGTGTGTGTGTGTGTCTAAAAACACAGGGTGTAATAATAATCTCACACACACCACTGGAATGTACCGTCTAACAGATAAAGGTCAAAATTATGTGTGTGTGAGTCTGGGAGTGTGTGTTTGGAGGTGTGGCAGTGTTTCAGCAGGGTTTAAATGTGTGCAGCAAAACACACACACACACACACACACACACACATATATATATATATATATATACACACACACACCTCTGGGTCCAGCTCTCCCCTGCGTTTATAGATGGCCTTCTCTCCAGTCAGACCATCAATGATTTTAGCATCATCCAGTTCTCCCAGAGCCTGGTTCTTCAGCCACTGCCGCTCCTTCCCTTTAGCCTGAAACACACACACACACACACACACACACACACACACACACACACACACACACACAGTTTGAGCACCAGTCGACCAAATAAACAAACACATTTCAAAATCCGTCCAGAGAAGATGATTTCATCCTGGTGGGGCTTTCAGAGGAAAATCATCCAGAGTTTCAACTGACTCATTAAAAACCACAGGACAGAGATTTACAGTATGAGCAGACTGAAAGGCGCTCACGGCTAATTGCACATGCAAACATTGGTCAACCCCCAACGACCACCTTTCTCTCCGCACACACACCCACTGAACAAAAGAAGTGGGGGGGGGGGGGGG